TTGTATTTCACTTTTTATACCTTTCTTGTGAATTGGTGATACTGTTGCCAGCTTTAAGAGATTAGAAAAGCTTTCCTGTTCTATTGACAAGTTAAAAAGGTGGGCCAGCAAGCTTGCCAACATCTCAGCACATCCCTTGTAGATAAGTGCTGGTATTTCGTCTGGACCTGTAAATTTTTTAGAGTTTCTTTTATACAGAGTGTCAATTTGAAAACTTCCCACCCCTATTATCTCCGAGTAGCAAAATTTTCAAAAAAATCCCTGAAACCCGTCAAGTAAAATGTGAAGGGGGATGAGTTTTTATGCAAAATTCACCTCTCCTCTTTCAACCCCCAACCCCCAGAACCATCCCCTAGAAAATCATAAATGGGAAGAGGGGTCAAGTGATATATCATTTTGCAGGGTTTTTAATTCCATACATTTTGGTACTAAATTTCAATACCTAAGTTCAACTGTTTTGGAACTATTGACAGTTGAAAATTGACTTTTTTGCAACTTTGACAGGCTGTAAAATTTAAGCGGTTAATTTTAGAGGAAAACCGTTCTTACATTATTGTCTTACATTTTTATAAACTATCTATCATTTGACAGCAACTTTGAATTTAATCCATGATCAAAAATTCTGGTTAAGATTTTAATCTCTGGTTGAATTTAAAATTGGTGTCAAATGATAGTTTATGAAAATCTAAGACAAGAATGTTTAGATTGGGTTTCCTCTTAAATTAACCGGTTTGGTTTTACAGCCTGTCAAAGTTGCAAAAAAGTCAATTTCCAACTGTCAATATTTCCAAAACAGTTGAACTTAGGTATTGAAATTTGGTACCAAAATGTATGGAATTAAAAACCCTGCAAAATGGTGTATCACTTGACCCCTCTTCCCATTTAAGATTTTCTAGGGGATGGCTCTGGGGGTTGGGGAGTGAAAGAGGAGAGGTGAATTTTGCATAAAAACTTATCCCCCTTCAAATTATAGTTGACGTGTTTCAGGGATTTTTTCGGAAATTTTTCTACTCCGAGATAATAGGGGTGGGAAGTTTTCAAATTGACACCCTGTATAATACTATTGATGACATTAAGTTCAGTTATCTTTCGAAAACAGACCTCATTCTATATCTTCTAAGCAGTAGTCAGAGCAGTGAGATGTCCTATACACTGATGCAAAATATTCAGAAAATGAGTTTGCAATGCTTACAGAATTATTATATTTATTACCATTGAGTGTTATTTCTACTGGGATTTCGCAATTTTCTGTTTGATTTCTGAAGAATGCCTAAAAAGTGTTTGGATTTGTCATGGGCCTGCTTTCAGTTGATGTTTTATATGGATTGTATTCAAATTTTGTTTGATTCTTAATTTGTACTCTCAATGTCAGATATTCTACACTCTTTGGGTTATTTGGTCCGTTTATTAAGTAAAAACAATGAAGCCTATTTTTCCTCCCAATTGTACGTATGAGGTCGACGGAGAACCAGGTAGGAAACTTAGCTTCACCATTTAAATTAATTTTGATCTTTGGTATAAAGTTATCTAGGAATCTATACATACTTTCATGAAAAATATTCAAATCCGTTCCCACATCCTGACATGTCAGTAATGAATACCAATCATAATCCGAAATAAAATGATGAACAAGTAAGAAGTTACCTTTAGCATAGTCATAGGCTTTTTTATTTATAGTTTGTTCTTGAATCTCTGTCACCTTTATATGCAGGTCTAGGGCTGGATGATATAGGCCCAGTGGACATTCATGTTTGTCAGTACTAAATCTAGAAACCTATAAATAGAATTAGGACCATTGTTTACTTGCAGTAGGTTGTACAGGGTGTCCGAATTTGGACGGTTTTGATATCAAAATTTGATCAATATTTCGAAATTGGGGCCAAATAGGAAAAAACTGAGAACGTCACTTAATTGTCTACCTGAAAAAGTGCTTCTATAAAGGGTTTACAAAAATCAATTATTATTTTCCGTAAGTTATAAAGGTTTCATAGTATTGCTCAAAAACGAGAATCGTCCTCTAGCGGTTAAACGATTGAAGATATCAAAATGCGGTTTGCACCGATCAAGTTTTCATGAAATTTGAGCTTAGGAGTGGGGGTTCATTTTTTTTGTATCTCGCTCAGAAATTGACGTTTCCTATTAAAACTGTTCAAATTCGGATACTCTGTAGATGCTAAGAAACTGCCACGTCAAGGCATTTTTATCGTTCACATCATTGCTAACAAACATTGAAATGTGGTAAGTTGAAATCACCTAGCAAAATTACATTTAAATTGCCGAACATTAGATTATCCCAAATAAATTGAAATACTGGTTATAAAGCTCTATGTCAGAATTTGGAATAAAATAAACTACAGAAATATAATTTTTAAAATGTATCTCTACAATCACTCATAATCAGTGTTGATTATTTCACAGGCTAGCTCTTTTTTGTGCGCCAAAAGGACACCTTCTCCTCTAAATTTGACCTATCCTTCCTGACCACTGTGTATCTGCTATCAAGTAGCTCAGAATTTAGAAATCCAGAAATTAACCATGTTTTAGTAAGGGCTACTATATCATAGTCTTCCAGATAATATTCCTGTATAGAAGGTATTTGTTTTTGTTCTAAGGCCACGTACATTGATTCTGAGGATCCATTTGTTCTGCTAATGGCATCCTCTTCTTTGTGAAAAACCGGGATATTAAATAAACCTTTATTTCTTGAAGTTTTCTTGACCTAGAGTGACATTCATTGAGGTCTATTTGTCGGGGTATTTTGATTGTATTGGCTCACAGGTCATGCATCTTAAATACATTCTCTACATTGTCTTTCAACTGTCAACCTGTTACAATCTTCATCTCATTAAATTGGCTTCGGGGTATATTCATTTTTTCTTCACCCTGAGACTTTTGGGATAGTTTCTTCCGCTACCTGATCGATTTTATCGGTAAATGCCTGATAGGTATCAATATATCCTTCTCAAGGAACCCGTCATATTTATTCCAATTTGTTTTATCCATTTTCCGTTTCCTTAATGGCTTCCTTTCCTGTTTTTGACCTATCAATTGTTTTCTAATGCAACATACAGTCGAGAAATGGCCATTGAAACCATTTGTGGTCGGAAACATACCAGTTAGTTTGTCCCCAGGGTCCTGCGATACGATTGTTATGTTTGAACAACTTTATTCTCGTGTTATTACCCTTTATTTATAATTATTAAATTGTTGTTGTTAACTTCCCGAATAAATTAAACAACAATTTGCACTACTTGATAAAGTTTTTAATTATAAAAATGGAAAATTACTTTCTAATATAATTTTAGCAACACATTTTCTTTTGGCGCTTTTTCTTGACACACACTGCTGTATCGACTTTTGACAAAAGACATTACTAAAATGACATTGCATGAACACAGCCACAGATGCTGGCTTCAACTACTGATTGGTTTTCATAAATCTGAATTGTTCTACTCTAATTGCTCCAATCAACAGTTGTTACTAATATATTCCATCAAGTACCTTCCATTAACATTATTAATCTATCTGTGAATCCCACTGGCTATATTGAGCAATTAGATCTCCCATGATAAATGGAGCTTGTATTCCTCCAAAGGCATTGTGGATGTTGTTTGGGGAAAGTATGACAATACCTTCTTTTTCATCATCTCTATGCAATCTGTGTACTACATAGTATGTCTCATTAATCAATAAAAGATTCGGATTTTCGTTATTTCTTGAGATAGTCAGATCGCTGAAGTTTCTTAAAACACTCCTAATATTCCATTGGATTATTTTCATGTTGGATTTGTTCATAATAAAATTCATCTAAATCAATGTGTGCATCTTCCAAAAGTTATTGATTGTCTAAATCGTGATCAGATCCCCCAGATTCCTGGGTTGCATTCTGGATTTCTTCCATAAATACATCTTTCACCTCCTGAGTCAAAGTTGTCTTACCAATAAGTTGTTTTACAACCTCTAATATTGGTGTTGGCTGCTGAAGTATATGATGATTTTCTTAGAGTCGTAGAGGTTGATATGTATAAATGTGGCTTCGGGAGTTCTCTCTCTGTCCTGTATTTTCATCTCTTTTTGGGTGTGTATTCCTTGCTTCAAAGAGATGTTTTCTTTTATTATTGTAGTTTTGATTGCTTTTCGTCTCAGGTACTCCTGTCATTGTCTACCAGTGGTTTTATGTTCCATGTTGCAGTATAAGCAATTAGGTGTGCTTTGTTCACAGTTCCTTTACATATATACATAGATACTATCACCATTTTCAGCTATTCTCTTCTTTAGCCTCCTGGCCTCAAAAACATTTGCAACGGATTTTGTATACTCGACTATTTCCTCTTCTGATAAGCCTTTGTAAATACTTCTGGCTATTCCTTTGCAAGTGACTAGGCTAGATGGAATATATGCATTAGGATTTTTTTTCTGAGAACTTACCCCCAAACGGAATCAATTATTTTCTCTTCTACAATTAAGTATTTGGTGATCGTTGTAACACTATTTGTTCCGTTTTCTAATTCTGTATAAGAAAAACTAAAAACTCTTTTTATGCGTCATTTTATTGCGGTTGTACCACTGCGAGGCCCGCGCATGCTTGTGCATAAGGACTAATAATTTTATCGGTCGATTCGATGGACGTCGACTACCAAAGAGGGGAGCCCTGTTGTTGGGAAGCAAGCGCTCTTTCACTCTCGACTACTAGCCCAGCTTTATAAGAGGCAACATTATTATTTATTTTTGTAGTACCATTTCTTGATCTTTAAGTTAAATTTTGTATATTCAGTTGAATAAAAATTATTAACTATAAAATAAACATACAGTCCACTTATTGAAGAACAGTATTCTCACTATACCTGAACACTTTTATTTCGCAAAAAATAAATCGAAAATTAGAATCCCGAGCTGTCATTCTCTTGCGCCAATCGTCGACCCAAAAACTACTTAAGGCGCAAACATGAGATATGATTGTTGATGTAGTTATTATATGAAAGTTATTTTTCCTGTTTCAGAGACCAATTCACATGGACAATTTCATGAACAGTCCTCATTTCTTCAATCACCAGCCACCGCTACCCAATTTGAGACAGGATTTCATACCGGACATGTCGAAATTAGATTTGTCCTCCTGGGACAGTACTCGTCCTATGTCTGACTTGCAGGACAAGCAACACGTAAGTTGGGAGAATGAATAATTTTTTTAGTTATTAATTCAAAGTCTTCCTCCACAAATACTTTATTCGTTTTAAACGGCCCTACATGTTTCGGGACTGGTAATTTCCATCATCAGGGGTAATAAATAAGCTCATATATTAACAGGATTAGATATCATAGACTACCAGATCATGCTACAGAAGTTATTTTTGGAGGAAGACTTTGAGTGTTTGTTTTGAATTAAATTTCAACTCAATTCGTTTAATTGTTTGTCTTTTTCTAGCAAAGTTGGACTAATCAGTGGAACAAGTAGAGAAAACCTTTTGGAAAAATCTTTTTACTGCAGAAACTATAAGCGTCGTTTTTTTTTTTCATTACTTTTTATAAACTTAAGCCCAAAAAAAAAATTATTTGAAAATTTCTAGTTTGTGATTTTTGGAGTACGGGATTTTCAAGTAGAAAAAAAAAATGTATTTTAACGTTTTTTTTTTTTTCTTAATTTTTAATTTCTTTATGGTATAAGGTGATGTCAGGAGGTCGGATGTAAGGGCCTCTTGGCATTTATTTTAATTGAGATATATAGTCGAAAAAAAAAATAAAAATAAAAACATTTTTTGATGTAAATAAAAAAAAAAAAGGTTCAGATTTACCCCCCTATATAGTATATTTGCATGTTGATTTTTTTTTTAAAACTTATATTCTAGTTTACTTGCTTAGTTAGCTTGGAGTGGCCAAAATCTATATAACTGCCCCTGTTTTTTTATTTGCAAAAATTTGAAACTCTAAGCAAGTGAACTATGTATTCCGCTTATAGTTTTCAAATATACAAGATTGGTAAAAGTGACAAGTGAGCGAGCATTGGATTTTGGCATTAAAAATCTTGTCGGTTCTGTTGAGGCTTGGAATTAGAAGTTTATTAGTTGGAATTGTGCAAAGCATAATCACCTTTCTTACCTGCCAAATTCAACTAGTAAATTAAATAGGGTCCTCTACAGGCCCGTCAAGCGAATCGAGAGTTGGATTTTAGACCTACTATAAAATATTAAAAAATTATAATGATGTAAACTGTAGTAGTTGCGCATAAAATATTGGTCCAGGGATTTTTTGGCGTTTAGGGTCAAGTTTTAACTGTTAAACGTGCGATTGTTGTTCTCTAATCGAATATATTCTGATTGTTTTCCTACCGAAGAGGCGTCCCTGTAAACTAAAAGGGAACTCCTTTTTATTTGAGGGCGGGGGGCCGCGCCTCCCCTTGTTATATTGTAGGGTTATTATAATACGGATTATTATGTAATATTGCTTGTACATGAAGACAAATATATCTTTATGCACTGTAAATTTTATTTATTTTACCTTTTCATAAGTTTTTATGTACTAAATAGTGTGGTATAGATTTGACAAAGACGCCTTTGAGTCTTTGTGTGCTGTCTGGGTTATGACTTTCCTTCAAAAAATTGAAGCAAAGAATAAAAACAATTACTGGCAACGTCGGTTTTGTGAAACAATCGGCAATCGATGGGCGGGTCTTGTTTACGCCTCTGATGCATCCCCACCATGATCTCCTCAAGCAGCTCACCTCTCCTGGCCTATTGGGGGTCTTGTTATCACAACAAACATCAGTTTATAAATGAGATGTAGTGTCTATTTGTGGATGTCATTCAGTTGTATGCATGAAGAGTGGCAAATGGTTTAATTCTACCTCCTTCTCTTTTTATTGCATTAAAGCTGAATATATATTTATCTCAAAAAACTTAAGCAAAAGCATATGTCCGTGTTTTATTTTATGCATATGACCCATTGACTCCAACTTTTGTTTAGCAATTTTGTCTCGATTTTTCTCAAACTTCCTGTATTTCTGAGTTTTTTCTTCTCAATTTTTGTCTATTACCAGCTCTTAAATCTTTTCTAAATTTCTCAAAATAAAGAAAATTCATCAAGAGCCTGGAATAGAAACAATAATTATTTGAGTTGGCAACACTGTAAATCGATGTCGATGTAGAAACACGATAATTTGACAAGCGACAATGTAGGCTTTGGAGAATTTCAAAATTTGAAATTGGCGCCCAAACTAGTTACCTATAATACCGACAAGGCAATAGACATTTCCATAGCCTACTAATAGTGAATTCTATTAGAAGGGTTAGTGCGCACTAAGAGTATTCGTATCTTTTTCTACCAGCTTGTATATGAAAGAGATAAAAAAACATTTGTTCTACTTTTGTCTCAATTTTTTTTTGTCTATTACCGGCTCTTGAATCTCCTCTAAATGTTTTCAAACGGAGAAAATTCAAGAGCTTGAAATAGAAACAACATTTCTTTGAGTTGGCAACGCTGTTAATCGATGTCAATGTAGCAACACGACAGTTTGACAAGCGACAAAGTAGGCTTTGGAGAATTTTAAAATTTGAATTTGGCGCCCAAACTAGTCACCTGTAATAGCCATTTCCATAGCCTACTAATAGTGAATTCTATTGGAAGGATTAGTGCGCGCTGAGTGTATTCGTGTCTTTTTCTACCAGCTTGTATAAGAAAGAGATAAAAAGACATTTGTTCTGCTTTTGTCTCAAATTATTTTTTGTCTATTACCTGCTCTTCAATCTTTTCTTAATTTCTCTAAAGGAAGAAAATTCATCAAGAGAGCCTGGAATGGAAACAAAATTTATTTGAGTTGGCAACACTGTTAATCGATGTCGATCTATAAATACAATAATTTGACTAGCGACAATGTAAGCTTTGGAGAATTTCAAAATTCGAATTTGGCGCCCAAACTAGTCACCTGTAATATCGACATGACAATAGACACTTCCAAAACCTATTTATAGGTCTGTTTCTGCAGGAATCACAAACCAGTCAGAGCGAATTTCATTGGTTGAAAACAGTCAAAAAACTAGTTTCAACCAATGAAATTCACTCTGACTGGTTTGTGATTTCTGCAGAAACAGACCTAATAGCGAATGCTATTGGAAGGATTAGTGAGCACTGAGTGTGTGTCTTTTTCTATCAGCTTGTATAAGAGAGAGATAAAAGAACATTTGTTCTGCTTTTATCTCAATTTTTGTCTATTACCGGCTCTTGAAACTCCTCTAAATGTCTTCAAATAGAGAAAATTCAAGAGCCTCTAATAAAAACAACATTTCCTTAAATTGACAACGCTGTTAATTGATGTTGATGTAGCAACACGGCAGTTTGACAAGTGACGAAGTAGGCTTTGGAAAATTTCAAAGTTTGAATTTGGCGCCCAAACTAGACACCTGTAATACCGACATGGCAATAGATATTGCCAAAGCCTACTAATAGCGAATTCTATTCGAGGGGTTAGTGCGAACTGAGTGTACTCGTTTATTTTTCTACCTGCTTGTATGAAACAGAGATAAAAAGACATTTGTTCTGCTTTTGTCTCAATTTTTGTCCATTACCTGCTCTTGAATCTTTTCTTAATTTCTCTAAATGAAGAAAATTCATCAAGAGAGCCTGGAATGGAAAAAAACATTTATTTGAGTTGGCAACACTCTTAATCGATGTCGATGTAGAAACACGATAATTTGACAAGCGACAACGTAGGCTTTGAAGAATTTCAAAATTTGAATTTGGCGCCCAAACTAGTCATCTGTAATATCGACATGACAATAGACACTTCCAAAACCTACTAATAGTGAATGCTATTGGAAGGATTAGTGAGCCACTGAGTGTATTTGTGTCTTTTTCTACCAGCTTGTATAAGAGAGAGATAAAAGAACATTTGTTCTGCTTTTATCTCAATTTTTGTCTATTACCGGCTCTTGAAACTCCTCTAAATGTCTTTAAATAGAGAAAATTCAAGAGCCTCTAGTAAAAACAACATTTCCTTAAATTGACAACGCTGTTAATTGATGTTGATGTAGCAACACGGCAGTTTGACAAATGACGAAGTAGGCTTTGGAAAATTTCAAAGTTTGAATTTGGCGCCCAAACTAGACACCTGTAATACCGACATGGCAATAGATATTGCCAAAGCCTACTAATAGCGAATTCTATTCGAGGGGTAAATGCGCACTGAGTGTACTCGTTTCTTTTTCTACCTGCTTGTATGAAACAGAGATAAAAAGACATTTGTTCTGCTTTTGTCTCAATTTTTGTCTATTACCTGCTCTTGAATCTTTTCTTAATTTCTCTAAATGAAGAAAATTCATCAAGAGAGCCTGGAATGGAAACAACATTTATTTGAGTTGGCAACACTCTTAATCGATGTCGATGTAGAAACACGATAATTTGACAAGCGACAACGTAGGCTTTGAAGAATTTCAAAATTTGAATTTGGCGCCCAAACTAGTCATCTGTAATATCGACATGACAATAGACACTTCCAAAACCTACTAATAGCGAATGCTATTGGAAGGATTAGTGAGCACTGAGTGTATTTGTGTCTTTTTCTACCAGCTTGTATAAGAGAGAGATAAAAGAACATTTGTTCTGCTTTTATCTCAATTTTTGTCTATTACCGGCTCTTGAAACTCCTCTAAATGTCTTCAAATAGAGAAAATTTAAGAGCCTCTAGTAAAAACAACATTTCCTTAAATTGACAACGCTGTTAATCGATGTCGATGTAGCAACACGGCAGTTTGACAAGTGGCGAAGTAGGCTTTGGAAAATTTCAAAGTTAGAATTTGGCGCCCAAACTAGACACCTATAATACCGACATGGCAATAGATATTGCCAAAGCCTACTAATAGCGACTTCTATTCGAGGGGTAAATGCGCACTGAGTGTATTCGTTTCTTTTTCTACCAGCTTGTATAAGAAAGAGATGAAAAGACATTTGTTCTGCGATTATCTCAATTTTTGTATAGACAAAAGATAATAGTAGCTGGGTTTGGTAATTGCATCTGCGAACAAAATGAGCATAATTTGACAAATGTCACGGGATTTGACACGTGAAATAAGATAAGTGATCACGTGATGTCCGTCAAAATTTGGTCTTTTTGCTTGTAGATGCAATCACCGAACCCAGTCAGTATCGGCTCTTGAATTTCCTCTAAATGTCTCAAAACAAAGAAAATTCATGAGCCTGTAATAAAAACAAAATTTCATTAAGTTGAAAACGCTGTTAATCGATGTCAATACAACAACATGGCAGTTTGACAAGCGACAAAGTAGGCTTTGAAGAATTTCAAATTTTGAATTTGGCGTCCAAGCAGGACACCTGTAATACCGACATGGCAATAGATATTTTCAATGCCTACTAATAGCGAATTCTATTGGAAGATTCGTGTGCACTCAGTGTTGCCAGATATACCATTTAAATGGTATTTATACTATTTTTTCTTCCGTGACACCTGCAAAAATTTTGAGGATACCATTTTTTGATGACAGTTACCATTTTTCAATCATTTTTTGCATATACCATTTAATAAAACATTGGGGGTGTTCAAGCGATTGACTAGTCGGTAACTTTGACAGGTGAACAACGGATTTTACGTCATTCAAGACCAATTCATTAACAAATGACGTTTACTTCATTGTTTATATGTCAAGTGTAACCGACTGGTCAAACGCTTGAAATCCTCTATTGCAATTTACTGTTTTCATTCAAGAATCGTAAGTTTTCATTTAGGATCATTTCAGCCATAATTCCAGCTAACTTCATGACGTCATTATTTTAATGGTATTTTCGTTTTGGCTAACATGGACTCGTGGGCTAATCATATAAGCTTTGTTCCAACACAGTACGAAACCGTACCTCCGTACCTGTCACGATTCTGCGCAAAACTTTGTGCGTAGAATCCGAATTTCGTATACAAAGTGGTTTCGAAATGGTTCTTGGGACGGTTTTTGACGTGTTGCAACAGACCTTCAGAAATGAAATTAATAAAATATAACAAATAGACCCCCTTTCCCCTTTAGAATTAAATATAATATTTTTAGTGTGTGAAATACCACTTTTTCTGAATGACAGATACCATTTTTTATTTTTTCCATCTGGCAACACTGTGTGCACTGAATGTATTTGTATTTTTTTCTACCAGATTGTATAGAAAGAAATGAAATAGTTATTTATGCAACAAGTGTGTAAAGTAATTTTGACGCACGAGCCGAAGGCGAGTGCGACAATCACATGAGTGAAAAAAGGTGCTTTACGCAAGTATTGCATACAAATTTTTTTCTACTACCAATTAAATATGTGTGAAAAAATAAATTTAGACAAATTCTTTACGTACTAGTGCGTAAAGTATTTTCACTTTACGCACTAGTGCCTGAAGAGAAATTTTACGTCTTCTGAATAGTGTGAAAAGTGAGTAGGGGAGAGTTGGATATTGGTGCGCGTTCGATAATGGTGCGCACCATGATAAACGAAAAACTCTTTGAGACATATGGATGAAAACCATTCCCACGCCATCTATTTATCATGTGGTAAACGCATAAAATTAACTAACACTAAGTGGCAACGCTGTATATTAAATATGGCCGAATCTGTAAATTTGCCTGTCTCAGTGTTGTTTTGTGGCACCAGAAAATAAGCTGTAAGTATTGCACATTAAGCGATAAATAAATTCTGATTAGACAGTTTTGTTCATTTTACTTTTCTTTATATGTTAGTTTATTTATTTGTTGAAGATTTATTTAATTTTTCTTTTTTTTTTAATCTAATAAATAAAAATGCCAAGTCGTCTAATGGTGCGCAGGTGCGCACCATTACCAGACGTGCGCACTTTTAGGCGACTTTATTTATATCTATACATAACCCACAACTTCAATTTATTTTTATTTAAGATGTCCAAATATACACGCAAAACCACAAAGGCGTCATGGGACACAGATTCAATAAGAAACGCAATTAGGCACTAGCTGACGTCACACACATAACCTCACTTCCGTTGGGGGGACAAACAAATCGTTTCAAAGGTCTATTAGCCTATCCAAAACACGTGACTTTGACAAGCAAACAAAAGGCTTGTGTGCCTCTTGGCGGACATTTTAATTTAAGTTTGACAGCAACCTGGATAGTCTAATTCAAGACACTAACGCTAGCTTGTCATCAATGACATGTAACTTGTAACGGGGACAAACATGTCATTGAGGTTATGTGTGGGACGTCAGCTAGCACCTAATAAAGTTCATTTTTCTTTCATATTCCTTCTTGCTTTAGCAACAATTTTTGTCATTATATATGCATTTAAGTATCAATACATTACAACCGCTTAGCGTACGCACGATTACCCGCTTCAGTATGGTAATTGTGCGCAATGCAACTTTTTAGAAAATCGGCTGTTGTCATTTTCGTAATTCAAACTGTACCATTTTGACATGGGAATATAGTAGCTTATATATCAAACTATCGATATGCATCGCAGAAAAATATCCTGACCTTTTAAATTTTCCGAAATATGGTGAGTGACTTAGGTGCGCACTAATACCCGACTCTCCCCTACTTTACGCATGGTTATAGAAAAAGACAATTCTTCTGCATTATGCAAATTTTAAAAATCAGTGAAGGCCCATATGCAAAATGGCTTGAATAACTACTTAGAAAAAATTAAATAAAAAGTACAAATAAATTTCAAGTAGGTTTATTGAATTCTTCTACATTTTGCTCAAGTATAGTTTAATTTTTGCAATAAAAAACTACATGATTGTATCAAATTTCCCATATAAAATTCAATTATAAGTCCTATGCATAAAACCAAAATGTAAATAAATCAAAAATAAAATATTCACAGAAGAAATAGCACTGCACACTAACAATCTGGCTCCTGGTTTAGGTATGTTCAGTAAATACACCAAACTTAGTCTCAAAGTGCTTAAACCTGCAAAGAGGACTAAACAAATAAAGAAAAAACTATTACTAGTCTCCTGGAAAAATATAAACGACACTAATAAAGTCAAAAAATGACCATACAAAGAATAACCAATAAGAGTTATGGTTTGCAACACACCTAAACCTGCCTTGCCTATGACCTCTCCTAAACAATAGCAAAAACAGGGCATACAAGTTATAAAAATTAGCATCACTTCTATAGGAGAAATTGCTGTTTTATGAATTTTAAATGAATAACCATAAACTAGCAAGGCAGATAAAAACAAAAATCCTAATAGAGGACCAAGTAAATCTTCAGGTGTGTCACGATATTTTAACTTAAAAGGTGGCACAAAAGATGTAAAAACCCTAAACAAAACATCTTTTGGGGCAACAAAAAAAGTTTTCCTATGAAACATCTTATTACTGCTTCATTTTCCTTTGCAAATTCTCTTGAGCTTCCTTAAGTTGTTTCTTAAAGTTGGCTGAAATTTCATTCATAAGAGCCCTAAACTGTTCTGGATTTAGTTTGCCTTGCAATTTGCTCTCTTCAATGAAATTTTTACCAGTAAACATTGCTCTTACAACCAACTGTGCAGCTTTTCGCATAGGGTAAGACTCGCTGAGTTTTTGGACTAGATGTTCATTGTTGGCCAATAGTCTTATTATGAAACGAAATACCATGCTATGGTTTTTGGAAATCGAAGGGGTAAAGGTAGCGATACTTTTGCAGGAGCTCTTGCTTGAGACGGAGTTGGGTTTTTAGAGCTTCCAAGTTGTTTAGTTGTTGTTCTTTGCTGAATTCTATGCCTGGGAGAAGTTGGATCTGAAACTGTTTATGTAAGAGGAGATTGAATTTGATGGTTTGAAATTGACTTACGTCTGCTCTGGCTTGATCCAAACGCTTTTGTAGTTCTAGAACTTTTTGACTGCAATCGTGAGATTCTCTGGTTTTAGCTGTGTTATCGTGATGGTCTTTTTCGACACTAAAACAAATATAATTTGATTTTATTGGTACAATTTATCTTACGCAACGGTTTGAAGATTAGATTTTATAGGGCGCTATTTTTAAACAAATAAATGGAACAAACCTGCGGATAATTTCGTAAATTACTGGCAAAATTTCAATGTTCAATTCTTCTACTGTGAGTATTGTCGGTTTGATATCTTGAGGTGAGGCATCTGTTTCCATTTTAATACAACATAATTTTATTTGATTTTTGAATTTGTTTGTTGGTTCCTCAAATTGAAAATGGATTAATTTTTTTGACAGATACCATACCTCTGAAATTCAAAGTGGATAGTGGGCCACTATCGATTCCTTGGTGGGCCACTACTAGATCCAACTACTCTGCACTCGCTCCTAATTGAGTCGGAGCTGTTTTTTTTTGTTACATGCTCTAGAGTAAAGAGAGCGTTGTAGTCATAAGGTTTGTTTGTTTGTGCTGTTCGGAGCAGCACTGGCTGCTTTGGGAGTTTGGAACATTCTAGTTACTCGCTCCTGTGTTAGTCGACCCCGATTTGAAAGGAAAGAGATGCGTTGTACACCAAACACTTTTCGAAAGGAAAAAGTGCGTAACGCCCCGGAGTTGTTCCGTAGCTTTTCCTAGGTGTGAAAGGAATACAACTTATAATAGCTATTTGCCATAACTTGAAATATTACAGCTCAGATCAAGTCAGTGCGATACAAACAAATCTTTATCTACATACGACTCAGAACTGTTATAAGTGCACACTGAACAAAACGAAAATAGACAAACGAAAGCCCCTAAACAAAACACGTCATCATAAATGTCAAGTCAACACTAAATACGTCACTCTGAATTTTTCAGTGGCCATTTTCCTTTTCATTTCATTTTCCGCAAGCCAAGCCAAGTGTGGGACCACGCGTTACTAACGCCATTTTTTTCTTTTTGAGCCATATTTTTGTCAATTAGTGTTTTCAAATGGGTTCCTCGAGACACCGAGATCGTTCCAGAGATCGAGATCGGTCAGATAAAGACAGGGATCGCGATAGAGACCGCGATAGGGATAGGGACAGAGATAGGAGGGGCCGGGATCGTAGGGACAGGGACCGCGGTAGAGATAGGGATAGGGACCGGGATCGTGATCGGGACAGGCACAGAGACAGAAGGTTAGTATTTTATTAATTTATTTATATTAATTTTTTTTGGACAGTGAGGAAGCCTAGAAAACTAACCTCACATTGACATTGGGGCCCCATTTGGAATTGATTTTTGCTTGTGTAAGAGGTACAAAATAGTTGTATTCCTTTCAAGAGCTTGAAACACTTGAGCTATTCGCTCCGGTGTTTAGTCGACACCGATTTGCAGGGAACAAATGCTTGGTGCAACAAACACTTTTCGAAAGGAATAAGCGCGTGAAGCCCCGGAGCTGTTCCGGAGCTCCTCCCACGTGTGAAAGGAATAGAACTAATTCAACTAATAGTCACATCGCATGTAGCACAGTGGAAGAAAGAAGAAGGAGCATGAATACTTCTTTATACATCAAATCTATAAGAGAAAGAGTTAGTAACATTGCTTTGTTCCTAATCAAACATCCAGATTAGCATCTGTAGTGACGTCACGCAGGTTGAATTGAAAAATCTGTGGGCTATCCTCTTTATAGGATCCTTGCAATTAAAGCAATGAAAAAGGCTATTTTGTAGTGACGTCATTATAATGGCGATGTTGTCAAGTGTTAATAATTCACTTCCACGCATATAAGTATTTTAAAAATTTTTACTTATATCCTTCCATGTGTTGGAAACATGGCAAATTATGATAATTTTTAATGATTGATTACACGGTTGAACTGAACTCTGTCCAACGAACCTACCGAGTATGACAAAGTCAAAATGGCGGCCAGGTTTACACTGAACACTGATTTATGCCATTAAGGCCCAGTTGTACAATCTCGGTTCAAAACAAAGTTCAACTAAACTCGACTGGTACTTGAGCTTTCCCATTTAAAATACATTCCTGTCAGCTATTAATCAAATTCTATAATTTTTGACAGCAATGCATTTCAAATGGGGAAGTTCAAGTACCAGCCGAGTTCAGCTAAACTCTGTTTTGAACCAAGATTGTACAACTGGGCCTTATGTCGACAACTGTCAATTTGGTATTTTTCTGATAAATTACTTCACGCACTAGTACGTAAAGGGAAAATACTTCACGCACTAGTGCGTAAAGTATTTTATTTCAATTCAATTCAATTCTTTATTGTCTAACAGGAATACATACTCCCAATAATGAGACAATTAGTGCACTTAAGAGCGAACAAAAATATGAAAATTTAAAAGCTAAGATTATATCACACATAAGATCCAGAAAGCTAATAAGAAGCCTTAAACAAAAATAAAAACAACTATGAAACTAAAAACAAAAATAACTAATAACAAAAAATAAAAATAAAAATAAAAATAAAAATAAAAATATAGATAAAAATAAGTATAAATAAAAATAAAAACAAAAATACAAATAAAAATAATAAGAAAAACTAGCATTGTTTACTCAGTTAAAATAGGAAATAAAAATAGAGATAGAAAGTCACCTCCCATACTTCCGCCAGGACAATTATCACAGCAAATACATTATCACAGATTGCCAACCACTGGCAGGATATTTTTTTTAAAGGAGTTTACTGAACCTACAAATAAGTCTACATCGATACTGTTCTGCAGGTGATTGAAGTATGAGCAGGCTCGATAGATTGGCTCATTTCTGGCAAGATATGTGGGGCGATTTTCCAAATAGAATTTACGGTGAGAGCGTGTGTTGACTACTGGTAAAGAAAAATTAAGGCTGTTTAGAAGATCTGGAGAGTCCACCAGGTTGTTACATAATTTAAAAAGAAAGAGTTGACTTGCTAAAATTGTACTCTGTTGAAGTGAGAGGAAGTTGAACTTGCTGAGTAGCAACTGGTGGTCAAATCCTCTTGGAGGGTAAATTCCATCCTTTTTGAAACTTAGATATTTTAGGAATCGCCGTTGAACATATTCATGCCTGTCCACATGTACTTGATGGTAAGGAAACCACACCAGAGAAGCATACTGCAATTTAGACTTGACCAAAGAGTTGTACAACGTGATGAGACTGTCGATGTTCTTAAACTCTCTTGTTGATCTAATAATAAACCCCAGGGTTTTCAATGATGAATTCACAATTTGATCAATATGATCATTGAATGTGAGCTTTTTGTCGATCACCACCCCCAGATCCCGGATTGAGTCAACTTTCAAAAGAGAACTAGATTGGAGTTGGTAATTAAAATTCAACTCATGATTGAGATTTGAGATGGTCATTGATTTACACTTATTGATGTTTAGATATAATTTGTTATTTTGACACCAACCTGAAAGTGCGTCAATATCTTTCTGCAGCTCGTTACAATCCTCCAAGTTGTTAATTATTCTAAATAGTTTGAGGTCGTCTGCGAATAATAAACTGTGTGATGAGACGTTCTGGGCAATATCATTGACAAATATGGCAAATATCAGAGGCGCGAGATTACTTCCTTGAGGGGCTCCGCTGGTGGCATTATAATCATAGGATTGGAACCCATTGTATTCGACAAATTGTGACCTACCACTGAGATAGGAGATAAATAGATTAATAAGGTTGTTGTGAAACCCAATTTGTAGCATTTTATGAGCAATAAGCCCATGGTCCAACTTATCGAACGCCTTCGAGAAGTCCGTGTAGATCACATCAAGTTGTTTTCTTTCATTTACAGCCTGATATGCCTTTGTTAGGAAAGAAGTTAGGTTAGTGACAGTTGAGCGTTTGCTATAAAATCCATGCTGGATAGTGGTAATTAAGTTTTTAACTTGGTGGAAGAGATTGTCATATACACAGACCACAGACCTCAAAGGCCTTCGAAAAGTTGGACAAAATCGAGATTGGTCTGTAATTAGAGATATTGTTAATATCCCCGCCCTTAAATACTGGACATATTTTAGTTTTTTTCCAGTGATCGGGGAAAGTGTGTGTCTTGATTGTTTAATTAAATATGTGGTGCAGTGGAGATGTAAAACATGGGGCACAGTCCCGCAGTATGAAAGATGGTACTTTGTCATGCCCAGAAGTATGTGTGTTTTTCAATTTTTTCAGGGAATCAAAGATTTCCGATTCAGTAATATGGGTGACATTAATGTTCTGAGAGTTGCCAACATCATTCAGGCTATCCAAGCTAAAATCTGAAGATGCTTCATAGACACTTTTAAAAAACTCTGCAAAGCCATTAACTATACTCTGTGGACAATCTAGGGAGGATTGACCAGAAATTAGTTTACTTGGGATACATGTTTTATTGCGTTTTTGACGAATGTATTTCCAGAAGTGCTTTGGATTCACCTTGATTGAAGATTCAGTGTCCCTTATATATGCTTTGTATGCGACATCAATTTTTATTTTTGTCATACGTCTCATGTTTGAATATGCTTGATAGTCCAAGTTTGAGCCACTTTTTTTATATTTTTTGTGAAGCCTAGTCTTCTCATTAAGATTGTTTATTATTTCTTTGGTGTACCAGTTGGGGTACACAACCCTACTTGATTTTTTTTTATACAATGGGACACATTGGTCAAAAATGGTGTAAAGAGTATCATAGAAATGATTGACGGCTTGGTTAACATTAGATTCATTGATTAAAGAGTCCCAATTTGCGACAGTAAGTAGATGGTACATCAGGTTGAAATCGGCCTTATTAAAGTTATAGTTTCTACTTGTGTTAGAGGTTGGAAAGTCACTGAAACCCGCATCTGGGTTTAGCTGCATGTCAAATGAAACATTAAGGGTGGGGTGTGCAGAATCCTCCGGGACAAGGGGAAGATGTTCTCTAGTTACCTCACATTCAAAGTTAGCAATAACAAGATCCAATATGTTACCCGATATGTTTGAGAAAGTGTTAAATTGTGTTAGGCCCCCCAGCGCTAAAAAATCATTTATATGAGTTTCCTTAACATTTGTGTTGGGATTGAAATCACCGATAAAAGCGACTTTGTTATTTTGAATAGGTTCATATGTGGAGAAAAAATCAAATAGGGTCTGGTGTGAGTTGGAGGGTGAGTTGGGTGGAATATAAATACCAAAAATAAATAGGGTACAGTTATCTAAATATAGCTTACAGCCTACAATATCAACAACAGGTACCAGATTTTCCAGTTCTTCCAGGTTAAGTTTTGACGAGGTGAGGTCGTGCCTAACACCAAGAAGCACCCCTCCACCTCTTGAGACATCCATGAGATCAAGCCTGCGGTCAGCCCTATAGACAGCATAGTTGTCGTTGAACAATTCATTATCAAATACACCATCCTGGATCCAAGTTTCCGATACTGCCACAACATGGCTTTCACAGAGAGAAACCGATTTATAAAATACAGTGGTTTTAGTGTTAAGGCCCCTAACATTTTGGTATGTTATTTGAATATTCCTGCTAGACAACCCTATCAGTTTAAATTTACAGCTTGATTAGTGGCGATAATTGTGGGCGATCCATTTTTGTGACCTATCCTTAGGTTCGTCTCACCAGCTCTAACACGTTCATCCATTTGTTGTTTGAGCTTCCGATACTCTTGGAGTTGCTGAGTAGTCTTGTCTTCCCTAATTGACAGGTGTTTGAGATTGTTATGTGTTCTGAGCTTATTTGAGTTGCGTAGGATATCGTTTGCTAAGTTACTTGAGCTGCATATCACCTTTATTGGCCTATTCTTGCCAGGAATCACTCTCCCCAAGCGAAATACTTGAAGATCATCTCCAGCTGCCCGTCCGAGGCAGTGGTCAGTCACACTACTAGCTACTTCATTGATGTTGGTAGTCAACTCTGGGCAATTGAAGATTATGAAGTTGGATCGACGGCTTTCTCTCTCTTTAAGTTCATAGAACAGACTCTCAATTGCAATTTGAAGTGGTTTGGGTTCAGACACACCCGGCGCGTCATCACCATCCCGAGGAGTAGGTGCCTCATGAAGTGCAGACAGTTCAGATTCCAGTGACTTGATTCTAAGCTCAAGGAGACTAACATTGGACTTAAGAATAGCGTTTTTGTCTTCCATCTCTTTGTTGAGCAGTTTGAGATAAGTGTTTTCTACTTCGGTTGCTTTATTGACGATGCTAGCAGAAGGGCAATGACCTATAGTCGGTGTTGGCGGGTCCTGACTATCGATGCTAGAGAGCAGAGGAGTAGGAGTGAGTTTGTCCGCTAGATTTTTATCCTTGCATTCAGGACACCAAAATAAGCAGATACGAGTTTGGAGCAAGATGGCTCGTATCTCAGTTGCAGTTTTTACTCCACTACAGGTTTTGCATATTGGCCTGTTGCAGGAATCGCATGGAAAACCGAAAATGGTACATCTATCTTCCTTGGAGATGCAGCTTGTGTTGCATAAATAGCAAATTTGGCTCATAATTAGGTTTGATGGATCTATCCTCGAATAAGTATAATATACTTTCGGTCCCTGTGGTATGTGGAATTTCCCCGATATTATTTCGAGAAAAACCTGGTTTCAAGGAAATTCTGAAGAGAACGGACAGCATCTATGCCTACGTCACCAATCTGCTAGAAGTGACGCTAACCTAGCGTAGTGACAGCCTCTGACTGGTAATATCCTTGCTAGGAAAGTCGGGTTAAGGTTTAGATCACAAGTTGAGGTTAGAAACTGCGGTAAACAAACAGTCACACAGTCACGACTTTATGGTTTTTTCCAGCGAAAATCCATAAGTCGGAGATCCACGAACACTCACACAAGAGAAGAAAATTCCCGGGAACACTGTGAACTGACTTTTCGGCCGATTGATTAGCTTTAATTCACTTTTCACACAAAATATACGTGATTGATATGTTGCTACATTGCCTGTCATAATTATTTGTCACTCATTTGTAAAACGTCACTTATCAAGTCAAAACATAAACAACGAAAATTGATTTTTACAAGCTACTGGCTCTACTGACTTGTAAAATTGACAGCTAAACTGTAATAGTTATTTACCTAACAAATGTGGAAAGTGATACTTTACCGCACGCAACGGCAGTTGACCGAACGACGCGGAGCGGAGTTCGGTCGAGCCGTTAAGGGCGGTAAAGGCACTTTCCGCATGTGTTAGGTACAAAATTTTACCTATGAGCATCTGCATCTCTAAAAAAAGGCATTGATAAAATTAATTATTAAATCAGATTAATTAATGAAATTAGATTAGATAAAGAAATGATCAAAAATCCATTTTCTGAAAAAGAGAGGATTTCTGATTAAAAATATCAAATTTTACTTTACCGCACACTTTGTAGTCCACTTTACCGCATACTATGCTGTAAAGTTAACTTTACCGCACACTATGCTGTAAAGTTAACTTTACCGCATAGTGTGCGGTAAAGTGCTACTTTCCATCTGCAAATACGTGCGGTAAAGTGCACTTTACCGCACGCTCGTAGTTAATAGTTATTTACCTAACAAATGCGGAAAGTGATACTTTACCGCACGCAACGGCAGTTGACCGAACGACGCGAAGCGGAGTTCGGTCAAGCCGTTAAGGGCGGTAAAGGCACTTTCCGCATGTGTTAGGTACAAAATTTTACCTATGAGCATCTACACCTCCAAAAAAAGCATTGATAAAATAAATTAATGAATCAGATTAATTAATGGAATAAGATTAAATTTAGAAAGGATCAAAAATCCATTTTCTGAAAAAGAAAGGAATTTTGATTATAAATATCAAATTCTACTTTACCGCACACTATGCGGTAAAGTGGACTACAAAGTGTTCGGTAAAGTGCACTTTACCGCATACTATGCTGTAAAGTTAACTTTACCGCACACTATGCTGTAAAGTTAACTTTACCGCATAGTGTGCGGTAAAGTGATACTTTCCATTTTCAAAAACGTGCGGTAAAGTGCACTTTACCGCACGCTCGTAGGTAAAAACTTTTATTTACAATCATAAATGTAATGTTGACTTTATTGACTTTTAAAAAGTTCGAAAATGTCACTTTTTTGACTTTTACTTTCGGCCCACGGGTCGAAAGTTTACTTGGTTGAAACTAGTTTTCAACCAATGAAATTCGCTCTGACTGGTTTGTGATTTCTGCAGGAACAGACCTTTTATTAAACCCTTGGTTTGATTCTTGAAGTTAAAAAAAAAACAGATTTCAAGAAATATATGGCAATATGGAGACAAATATTTATAGCAAATTCTATGGTAGAACCAGAAAAAATGTATTTTTATCTCTTTCTTATACAAGCTGCTAGAAAAAGACATAAATACACTCAGTACGCACTAGTCCTTCCAAGTTTTAGGACTGAGTTTTAGCTACCTCATGATTTAAATTTTGGGAAACTTCGAAAGGTCATAACTTTTTTTTTTATTATAGATAGAAAGTTGAAATTTTCAGCGATTCTTATCCCAGTAGAGAACTATGATCCCTGAAAATTTCAGCTCATTTGGACTTTTTCCAGAAATAAAATCATGTTAAGCAATTTGGGGTACCTGATTTATCAACTTTTTAATTTTTCTGAGTCGTTTTTTTCATAGATTCTGGTTTCAAATCTCAGAATAATTTAGTGTATGGAATTTGGGGGATCTGAAAGAAAAATAACAAAATTTAAGGATCATATCTTTTTTTATAACGTAATAAAGGACGTAAATAGGTTGCCACATGTACTAAAGTTTCCGCATAGTTGTACAATGCTTTCAACGCTCTTGAATTTTCATTGATTTGATTTTAGGGACTTTGACGTCACTGTCCTCGCCCGCCTTTTCAATTTAAAAAAAAAAAGTAAAATCCAAGAGCCAGGAATAAAAAAATTAAAAGAATCTCATTTAAGAAGCATTTCTAAATTTCAGAATAGAAAATGGATACAGTATTGTCAACTTAGGGAGTTTTCCCCTAATACTACTAGCGATTTTCATCAGTAAATGAAAATTGAAGAATTTCAAATAACAATTTTCTTGCTCTATTTCTCATGTTTGCTTTCAAGTTTTGTCTATTTCAGGCTTTTCAATTTTTGTATTCCTTAAAACCGAAATGTATTAAAAATTCAATTGGAAATAAGGAATAAATATTGAATTTTTCAAATTGCATAAGTTCATGATAATCAATCAAGTGGTTAATATAAATTGATAGGGATTAAAAATTGCTACTGAAAAATGGTCTGGACTCTGGAGCAAACCCAATACAACTAATTTTATGAAATTTTCTAGATCCAGAGACAGACACCGCGACCGGGATCGCGACAGGAGCCGCAGCTCTTCCAGAAAACGCGAACGCACTCCGGAAGAAATCGACGGAGAGAAACTGATAGCAGACACTTTAGCCACATTGGCTGCCACCAGAAGCTACAACAATTTCCTTCAACAAACTCAGGCGGCTTTGCAAGGAGAAAATTCTAATCATTCCACAGGTATTTTTTTGCTTATTAGTTTCATCTTTTTTTAATTAATTATTGAAAAATCTATAGAAGACGATGAAGCGGCGGAAAGAAGAAGAAAAAGACGTTCCAGATGGGGTGGAGGCGAACACGAAAAAATCTTCATACCTGGCATGCCTACTATTTTGCCAGCAAACTTGAACAAGGACCAGGAAAAGGCTTATTTGTGTAAGTACATTTTATGTCTACAATTATTTTAATTGAGGGGTAAGTAGTAACTGCTGAGAAAATTTATAAAGGACTGAAAAGTATATTTTATATATTCCAAATGATTATTATTCTTAACAATAATTGGGCGCTCGCCCTTCTCTAACCCGTTTCATTACAGTGCAACTGCAGATTGAGGAAGTGAGCCGAAAACTGCGCTCTGGAGACCTTGGAATTTCACCTAATCCAGAGGAAAGGTTTGTGTGAGAATTTGAAAAAAAAATCTACTTGGATTTATGATGGGCTAGAAAATGAAGAACCTAAAAGTGGTTTGGCAACATTATGTCTTTAATAATTAATAATAATATTTTTTTTAGTCTCTATTTAGGAATTTAGATGAATTTTTTGGTTCAAAAATGCATAATTCAATTATATCAAAGAATTCATTTATTTAGTGCAACTATATGATTTTGTATTTTGAGAAAAAATTATCTAGTTGCTTCCTTTTTTTGAGTTTGTATGATTTTTCTTATAAAATGTGTACAAAAAAATCCTACAAATCTCATAAAAATCACTTTAATTTTAAGTAACAATAAACAAACATCTGTTTCAGATAGAATTCCTAATAATTGAACACAAATTTTAGCTGCAAAAACTTAAACGAAACAATTATTTTTCAGCCTAAACTAATCATTTTCAGGCAAATTAATGAAAAATTATTTATTTTCAGCCTAATAATAATAATAATAATAGTTAATTTTACAGCTAATAATAATTAATTTTCTCTTTAGGAAACAGATCTAGGCACTGCAACAACAAATTAATTTAAATCATGCTTGTGTAATTATATAATTATTACATGAGCATGATTAGTTTAGGAATTTAAAACAAGAAAATGCTTGTTGTCGTTTAGTCAATTAATTGACTTGAGGGCAAAAAGCCTTAAGAAACAAAAACATCATACAATTTATTTTTCCCGCACAGATCTCCATCTCCCGAGCCCATTTACAGTAGCGACGGCAAAAGGTTGAACACCAGAGAATTCAGAACTAGAAAAAAACTAGAAGAAGACAGGCATAATTTGGTTCTCACGATGCAATCGATTAATCCCGAATTTAAACCGCCTGCTGATTACAAGTAAGGATTTTGTTTGTAGAAAAATTGTTTGTGATTCTTATGAGGTGATTTTTTTAGGCCTCCTGTTATAAGGGTGAGCGACAAAGTGATGATACCGCAAGAAGAACATCCGGAAATTAATTTTGTTGGGCTTTTGATTGGACCGAGAGGCAATACTTTGAAAAGTAAGAATTTGTTTGGAGAGATAATTATTTTAAGATTTATTTAAATAGAGATATAGTCAAACTTATGAAAGGGGTTGAAAATTTTCCAAAAATGACACTGAAACAGTTTTTGCTTCACAGCTCCTTTAATTTTCATCCGAATTTAATGCTCTTAGGCTCTTATTAAAACCAATTAAATTCTCTGCAAACTTGTTAATTGATATTTTAATTTATTTTCAATAGTTTTGCATTTGTAGCTTAGAAGCCTTAAAATTGAATTTATCGAACATTGAGAATTTTTCGAAAATGACACTGAGACAGTTTTTGCCTTACAGCTCCGTTAATTTTCATTTGATTTTCACGGAATTGCATTTAAATTAAAGCCAATTAAATTCTCTACAAACTTGTCAATCAAGATTTTAATTTAGTTTCTTACAAGGTTTTTGAAATGGATTTTTGTGTATTCCAACCCTGTTTTTTGTAAGAATGAATGAGTTGATTTTGATACAATAGGAAAGGGGGAATTCATTACTTTATTCACTGTAAATATATGACTTTCGTTTTTAATTCCCTAATTATTGTTTTGAAAAGTTGCCCTTACTTAAAAAACTAATTCACATGATGTTTTTACCATCTTTCGGGTCTGAACCATTAAGATTGACACTATAACTTTTACTGATTGAATTCCAATAAGTAGTTATTAAGTTGTAAGTTAATTTATCAAATCTTGATGTATTTTTTTGATTGATTACAGCCATGGAAAAAGACACTGGAGCTAAAATAATTATCAGAGGAAAAGGCAGTGTCAAAGAAGGCAAAGTAGGACGAAAGGATGGTCAACCTTTACCTGGCGAAGACGAGCCTTTGCACGCCTACATAACAGCTACAAATCCTGAATGTGTTAAAAAAGCCGTAGAAAGAGTAATGACAGTGTATTTTTATCAAGACTCCTTATATCTGAGAAATATATTTTTAGATAAAAGAAGTTATAAGACAAGGTGTTGAAGTGCCAGAAAACCAAAACGATTTGAGACGAATGCAATTGAGAGAATTGGCTCAACTTAATGGAACTTTGAGAGAAAATGATGGGCTAAGATGTACTAATTGTGGTGCAATTGATCACAAATCTTGGTTGGTAAGTAATCATTATTTTGTAATTTTTTAATATTTTGGCAAAGCATGTGATGTTTAACCATCTTTCGGGTCTGAGCTTCAATTGATTGACAACATACACCCATAACTGATTTAATAAAACTTCATTAATTATGATAATGATAATTATTTGTTTTGTATTATTGTATTGTTGTTTTTTAGTGTCCAGACAAGCCAAATGTTACAAACAACATTATGTGTTCAAGCTGTGGCGCTGCCGGGCACATTGCCAAAGATTGCAGGTCTAAAAGGCCTGGCCTAGGGGGGCCTCCTATGCTTGGCGATAAAGCCAAAATTGATGAAGGTAATTATTATTAGATTTTTTCCATTAGACATGAGAACCAGTAATTTCCAGTTGTTCACATATTTTTCAAAGGGTTGACAGAAGTGACTGGAAATTATCGTTCTAGAACGGTTCTTATGTCTGTTATAATACGGAAAAATATTTTGGTTTCAATATGATGTTTTTACCATCTTTCGGGTCTGACTTTTCTAGTGATTGATAACATACCCACTACTGATTGATTTGTTTTAATTAATTGATTTGGTAATTGGATGATGTTTGTTGGTTTTAAGAAATTATGTTTTTTTTTTGCAGAATACATGTCTCTTATGGCGGAATTGGGTGAGGGACCACCTCCAGCTCCACCTACAGGTAAATTTACTATTAGTTAGATGTCTATAGGTTTGGCAAGTCAATATTTAACGGGCCAATTTTGCATGATTATGAATACAGGGTGTCCTTGGATAAACTGACACATTTTACAGGTGAATATCTCGAAAACGAGAAAAAATAGGATGCAGTTTGTTCTGGAAGAATAAGGATTTTTGAAAGTTTTTTTTTCATGGTATTGACGAATCCAGAAATTCGGTTTTACAGACATTCGATTTTTTAAAATAATTATCTACTGCCTTATTTTTGATGAAACATCCGGTATGTTTTCTCATCGTCGAAAAGCGTGACTTTTCTACTTCACAAAATAGTTATTTTTGTCACAAGTAGACGAGGCGTTAGCCGAGTTCGGAATAGCAGATAAGTCCTGAAAAACTTCGTTAGGTACGTGTGACAAACATTATTTTTTGTCATACGCTTTTTAGAATTCTTCACAAGGCTAAAATTTCCTTAATTTTTGAAATCATAAAGGTGCATCCAGACAGAAAAAAAGAGTCCCAAAAAGAAGCATAATGAGTCCGTAAAATAGCTGTTTTTGGGAGCGTATGACAAAAATGTATATTTTTTCATTTATCATGAAATTAAATCGTAAAAATTACACTTGGTTGAAGAGCGTACCGTCGACTGGTCAAAAAAAAAAAAATTATAATAATTAATAATTTGTGTTTTATATGCACTTATTTGTGTTTAATACTTGTATTATTAGTGCAATTTTCACGATGCAAGTTCAAGATAATTGAAAAAAATTATACATTTTTGTAAAGTAGAAAAAACAGGCTTTCTGACGATGCTAAAATATACGGGGTGTTTCATTAAAAATAAGGCAGTCATTTTATTTCAAAAAATCGCATGTCAGCAAATTTTAGGATTGGGCAGTAATGTAAAAATAGGTATTTATACAATAAGTTACGAAATGAGCGTCTTTTAGGCACGCGACGTGAAAATTATCCAACGAGGCAAAGCCTAGTTGGACAACACGTCAAGTGACTAAAAGACATCGTTTCGTAACGTATTGTATACAAGATTTTTTCTACTGGCATTTTCTAAAAAAAAAACCACAATTTTATTTCATGTGAATAAGTCAATTACGCCCAAAATCTTTGTTACCTGTTTTTACTTGACACCTGACACTTTTCATGCGATTTTTTTTTTCAAGATTCGACATCAATAATTAAAATCCTAGAAAGTAGATAACAACACAAAGTTCTGTTTTGAGTAACCCAAACGTTCAATTCAATAATTACATTTTTCTCCGAATGACAGTAAAAGCGGCCTTTTAATGACACTTGACAGGATCAAAAGTTGTATTTTTACTGCCTAGGCATTAAAAGTGACAGTGTCACAACGTTCCAGGTAATAATTTCACTCAATTTGGTATTTGAAATTGATGGTGACAATGACAATTGTCAAAATAATTGAATTATTTGGATAATAATAATGAATGAAATAAATATAAAAAAGATGTCCATGTGTGAATTTGAACATTCGGAGAAAAAATTATATATTTTACATGGCAGAAAAGCAGATTTAATGCCTCGGCTGGTTTCCTAGCCTCGACTATGAAACACCAACCGCGGCATTAAATCTTGTACTTTTCTGCCTAGTAAAACAAATAACTATTTTAATATTCATAATAAATACAAAACAAAATTCAAATCTGTGTTTAGTGTGTTTTTTATTTCTGAATAATAAATGACACTTTTACGCACTCAAAACTCACTTTTACGCACTGAGTGCTTAAAAGTAACTTTCACGCACTCAGTGCTTAAAAGAATGTCGTTTTAAAACTAAAATGACAATCGAAAAGTTGCTATTATGAAACGTCAGTAGAAAAAAAACTTTAAAAAATCCTTATTCTCCCAAAACAAACCGCGTCTCGTTATCTAATCCCGTTTTCGAGATACTTACCTGCAAAATGTGTCAGTTTATCTAAGGGCACCCTGTAGTTATGCATTGTACATTTGTTTCCTTTGGCAACGTTGTAATAAGAAATTGTTGCCCACACATTCTTTCAAGAAAGCATTTTCTTAGTTCATCAAGCCAGAGGAAGGCGAATCTGCTTTTCCGCTGCCTATTAAAGTGCCATCTTTTTCTATGGCAGTAGGACATTGCATTGCCAACAGTGTATACAGGTCTGGCAAGTCAGGGAATGTCTAGAAAAATTCTACGGTTGAATAGAGAACAAAAACGATTTCCCCTGTTCCATCTCCATTATGGAGCGCTGGGAATGCTGGAGGTGGAACAGGGGAAATCGTTTTCGTTCTCTATTTAACCTTAAGCTGGGTACACATATGAGCATGTCCAAAATATCTGCAAAAGTATCAGTGCTGAGCGGCTGAAAAGACTCCCTCGCAATCTACACATATGAGCATGAACGCGAACCCAGCTTTAGACTTTTTCTTTACATTTCATTTTATTACATTAAAATTGGCCCATAAGATGTTCACTTGCCAGACTGGTATGTTAACTTTCCCACTACATGATGTTTATTACCATCTTTCGGGTCTGAACCTACAAGATTGACCATATACATTTAACTGAATAATCAATTTAGTCAAAAAAAATTACACACACACATACACACAATGTTTATGAATGACTTTTATTCTATTATTAGGCGAATCCATGCAAAAACGCACGACGTCCTCGTTCAACATATTCTCAGCCCAAGCGGCCCCCAGGCCTCTGATGGCACCGCCGGGAGCTCCGCCCCCTTGGGGTGCCGCTTGGTGTCCCGCCCCCGCAATGACCGGAGTGCCGCCGCCGCCTCCTCCTCCAGGGGCAACTACTGGACCACCTCCGCTTATGTCTCCGTGGTCGAATCAACCGCCGCCTCCCGGAGCTTCTAGTGTTCCTTCTGTTTGGCCTCCTGCAGGTAACAATACTTGTCCGTTTTATTTATAATAATTTCCACAATTTAATATGATGCTTTTTACCATCTTTCGGGTCTGAACCATTAAGATTGACACTATATAACTATTACTGATTCGATTAACAAAACTTTATTATTTTGAATTGAAATTCCATATGCAACTAATGGAAATTATTGTTTGACTGTATAGCTCCCCCGCCGTTTTGGGGTCAAACTGGTTCGGTTTTGCCGCCCCCACCTCCCGGTTTGGACGTTACCAGTTTGTTGAGTGCCCCGCCGCCGCCGCCACCCTCCAGCTAAAACCATAATCTAAGAAGGATGTATTTATTTTTAAAATGTTTAATTGTAATCTTTCTCTTATAGAGACTCTTTTTGTGCAAGTTAATTATTTAAAATAATTGTGTATGAAGTATATGAATAATGATTATATTTAACCAGTGGTCATCTCTTGTAAGTTGTCTAAAATCAATACAATTCCCTCCTAAAAATACATTAGCATTTTTGTGCCCGAATCGATTCGAAACCCTCAAAAAATATGTGTTTGTTCATTTATTACAAAAAAAATCCTTTGTGTTTGACCTGGGTAATAAATTAACTCGGTTTTATTACTTGGCCCTCAAACGTTATTGGTCCTTCTTAATTGAGAGATAAGAGACAGTGTGTATTCTAATTTCAATAGTTCTGCATGCAAGAAAACAATTAAAACTAAATGGGTTTTTTTTTCCTAGTGAGTTTTCATTAGTGATACAAACATAGTTTTAATAATATGCGAGTCGTGTTTTATTGATTTGAATGTGAAATAAGTGCAAATTGAGTTGGTGAAATGCATAAAAATCACAAGGTAGAACCTTCAGAGAAGATTCACATTTTCAAGAAACGTATACAACAAATGCGATATTTTTATATTAAAAAGTTGTTTGTGTTATTGGAGAAAAAACGAGTGGTTTATCCTTTGACAGTATTTTTATTAGGTAAGATATCAACCGGGCTTAAACAAAGACTATAACTCATCAAAATTTTAGTTCTAGTTCTTCTGGGTCACACCTATTCCCTAATAGGAAAACCGAAACCGTTCCCAAATCAACAAGTGGCAACTAAAACGTCAGAACATGTCAGTGACTTTTCTTTAACAGCTAGCATAGTAATAATAATTTTATACCTACCAAAAAACGGTGAAAACTTCTTCAAGTTTTTCAACAGCCTGTATCCGGAAGGCAACAAACTCTTCGGCCCCCTTTTGGCAATGAAAAAGCACCATTTCTGGAGAAATTTTTTAGTGTGCAATTTGTGCATTGGTATCCTAATAGCACTAAATGCCTCATTTTTTCTAATCAACTTTGGTTGGCAAACATACAAGTACTTCATATTCAGAGACACTGAATTTTATTTTTACAATTTAGTTCTTTTGCTGTTGCTCGCCTTGGCAAGGAAACTTGAAATGAGATTTGGCGAACTAAATGAGCTATTGGAATACAAAACTGATCATTATTTGAAAACAAGAAAAAGCAAACAAGTTTATAACAATGTACTTGAAAATCATTTGAGCTTCATATTAAGCTCTGAGCACTTTTACAGTGTGAGAACTTTTAGAATAATGCATTACGATTTGTGTAATTTAGTTAAACGATTCAATGAGATGTTTGGCAGGATAATGCTAGCCACAGTGGTGTTTAGTATTTCGAATATTCTAGCCAAAGTAACTTTTGTTATTGACTTTTACGTTACTCCAAGAAACGAAGAGGATGAAGACATTTGGATGATGTTTTTGGCAATTGTATGTTTTTGGATTTTTGTTAACATGGTAAGAAAATTGTTTTTATTATTGGATAATACAAATTAAAATTTGTTTTAGGCTCAATCATTTTTATTTTCCTATTATGGAGAACAAATAATAAAAGAGGGAGAAAAAACGACACGTATATGTTTCTTTTTGTTGAATAAAGTATCGTTTACACCAAAAAGTGATGATGAAAAGTTGGTGGAAGACGAATTGAAATTGTTCGCTTTTCAAAGTTACTCTCACGTGCCTTGTCTTTCGGCCGGAGGATTTTTCGATATTAATTTTAAAGTCTTAGGACTTATGATTTCTAGTGTAACATCGTATTTGCTGGTTATAATTCAATTTTTACTGAGACAAACAACTAGCTAAAAGACAATTATTATTTGTTTGTGTAATATGCAAAGTGATTGCGATTAATGAATAAAGTTTTCTATGCCAGGGTCTCGATTTTTTTCTTTATTCCAACAAATCCACGACAAAAATTGAAGAATAGAGCCAAAGAAATTCAAGGAAAATGGAGAAAAAAATTTTGGTGGATAAAAGGACATTCATGTTGTTTCTATTCCAGGCATTTGAATTTTTCTTATTAAAAAAAAAAAATGAGAGTAAATTCTATCTCCATTTTTACCAGAAATCTCAATCTTCTGTGCCAACCTCCATGTCTCGATAAGACTAATGTGGTAGCTATGGATCTTCTACTATAGACCTCCCAATTAGAAAGTGACCGGGAGTTAGTACATCTATATACAGGGTGTCCCAGAATATGTGGGCAATCTCTCGCATTCAGATAGAACACAAAAAAATAACATGAGAACTTCCTATAAAAAAAAAATCCCACGGCCCCCGTACGAAATTACGCGCCCTTAAAGGACGCCTCTGAAAATCGTTTTTCTGTTGATAACTTTCAAAATACTTCGTGTATTTTTTTTCTCTTTAATATGATAGATACTAGATAAGACCCCTTAAACTGGACCCTCTCCATATACGTGCATACATCAACGTGCAAACAACAACGTGCATGTCACTTTTGTACTGACGCTCGCACAAAACTGTCAGTCTTGCTACTCTTGCTCTTGCTACAGTATTCTCAGTGTGTATACAAAATTTCTAGCGATTTCAGAATTCATTTGAGTGTCATTCTATAGTTTGCACATTCAAAAATGCGACGGTATTTTGCATACACATTGATGTTTTTGCTTGCGCGTTCATGTATGTGGGTACATGTTTTCAGACATTCACGTCCGTGTGTAACCGCCTTAAGAGTAGCAAGACTGCAGTTTGGATAGTTTTGTGCGAGCATCTGTGACTCCATGCACGTTATTGTTTGCACGTTGATGTATGCACGTTTATGTATCAAGCCATCCACGCTCGTGTGTAACTGCCTAAAAGGCGGTTACACACAGACATGAATGTCTGAAAACATGTACGCACATACATGAACGCGCAAACAAAAACATCAATGTGTATGCAAAATACCGTCGCGTTTTTGAATGTGCAAACTATAGAATGACAATCAAATGAATTCTGAAATCGCTAGAAATTTTGTATGCACACTCAGAATAGCAAGAGTAGCAAGACTGACAGTTTTGTGCGAGCGTCTGTACAAAAGTGACATGCACGTTTGTTAAAAAACGTGATTTTGGGTACAACAAAAGAAAAACGACTGTATCACCACGAGATCTGTCAAACGACTGATTTATTCAAGTTTATTGTTTATTCAACTCACACAGGAGCATATGTCAAAAAAGGTAAGTAAGGTTCACACTCAAGAAAAAAAAATAACTGCAATATGCTACAATAGATGGAGCCATACATCAGGTTAGTATTACATGATAAATAAACTAGGCAATTTTCAATATTCAACCAACACCCCCACTTATTGAAAATTACCTAAGCCTAAATTTTTGACAAATTTATTATGCTTAGATGAAGTCAAACCTTTTGTCAGGACATCAGCAATCATTTCAGAAGTACACAAATATTTAATTTCAACTTTTTTATCCATAACAACTTGTCTTATGAAATGATGCCTAACATCAATGTGTTTGGACCTTTTATGAAAAACTGGGTTAGCTACCAACATTTGCGCACTTTGGCTATCATTAAACAACACTATACTATCATTACAACCAATCAATTCAAACATCAAATTTTTTAAATATATAGCTTCTTTACAGGCTTCACCTAAAGCTATATATTCAGCCTCAGTGCTTGATAAGGCTACAGATTTCTGTTTCGTGCTTTCCCATGATACAGCACCTCCTGAAAGCAGAAATGCGAAACCTGTATAAGACCTTCGATCAATTTTACAGTTCGCCCAGTCAGCATCAACATATCCTAAAATTTCACTGCATTTACTTTTAGAATATTTTAATCCAAAACCTTTTGTAGCCTGCAAATACTTTAAAACACGTTTTGCACAATTCCAATGAACCTCAGAATAGCAATTGTTGAATTGACTTAAAAAACTGACTGTATGTGCTATATCTGGACGTGTTTGTACTGCAAGATACATCAGACTTCCCATTAATTTCTGATAAGGCAAATTTTTATCAGGATTATCACAAGTATCATTTTCTAGACATACATTACAATCCAAAGGTGTACTTACTCCTTTACAATGAACCATATTAAAACTAATTAACAACTGATTTACATATTCTTCTTGATCTAAGAAAATTACATTTTTGTCTCTTCTAATCCTGACTCCTAAACATTGCCTAGCCTCTCCTAAATCCTTAATTTTAAATGTAGACTTCAAATGTTTCTTTAAAAAATCAGTACTTTTTAAATCATTTGAAAAAATAAAAAAATCATCAACATATAACGCAAGAATGGTTAAAAGACCACTTTCATTCTTAATATATACACAATGTTCATGTGCTGATTTTTTAAAGTCAAGTTCCAATAAAACCTCATCGACCCTCTTGTACCACGCTCTTGAAGATTGTTTAAGACCATATATTGCTTTGTTTAGCTTACAAACTTTATCTTCCGAGCCTGGAACAATAAAGGCCTCTGGCTGTTTCATATAGAGTGTTTCTTCCAAAATACCATTGAGAAAAGCCGTCTTCACATCCAAATGGTAAATTTTCAAATCTAAATTTACAGCTAAACCTACTAAAATTCTAAAGGTTGAATGACGTACAACAGGCGCATAGGTTTCATTATAATCAACACCTGTTACCTGCGTAAAACCTTTAGCAACTAATCTAGCCCTATATACTACACTTTCACTGCACCTTTTGATCTTAAACACCCACTTGCACTCAACTATTGTTCCTTTATCAGGAATATTCACCAACTGCCATGCTTCATTCTCCTTAAATGAACGCATTTCTTCCTCCATAGCTTCTTTCCATTTTTGGGAATCAGGCCTGGATAAGGCCTCGGTTACCGTCAATGGCATATCCTCAAAACTGACAGTTTGTGATGGACACAAATAAGTTACATAGTCCTCATACTGTCGAGGTTTCTTGCTTCGTTCTGATCTTCTGATGACTTCTGGTTCCTCAAAAGAAGCATTAAACTCTTCATCGCTGGTGTTTTCTGGGTCATGATACAAATTATCATCAGGTTCAGATAAAGAATCACTCAATTCAGACTGATTTTGATCTGATTCAGCCCCCACTGAATCTTCTGTCTCTAAATTTGGTTCTGGCTCAGTAATAATGATATTGTTGATTTTAGGAACATTTTCATTTA